AAACTCAAGATTCGAAAATTTTCACGATCGCAATACTTTCCCTTACTACATATTACATATATAGGTAAGTGAAAGTAAAAAAGAGCACATAGAATCAACAAAAAAACGTGTAATTTTGTATTTGTTATTATATAAAATTGTGTAATCTATTTTTCGGCTAGCCAGATATATGCCAGCTTCTTTTCGGCTATGTCAAATACATAAATTTAAAAGGCTTCAAGAAGACTTTAGGTAAGGTTTTATTAAAATCGTTACACCCGTTTTAGTGCTACAGTCTACAGCGACATAGGTTTTTCGGCCGCCATTTTGAAAGGAGAATGCAGAAGGTAATGTGTTGGGAGGATCATCCTCGAGTGACCTCTGACTTTATACCAAATCTCAAAATAATCGGTCCAATGGTCACGGAGAAACGCCGCGTATGGGGGATTTTTTAAATTAGATTTTTGGATTTTACGTATCTTGAAACGAAAAATCTCCAATTTTGAGGGTTTACTCGTTCTTAAGTCAGTTACATAAGGTTATTTTGGAAAATAATAAGCCAAAAATGGTTACAACAAAAATGTTCCGGACGCAGTTGCCACTTTTACAGTCGCCATTGGGAAACCGACCTAATTTAAAGAAACCACATTACAAGGTCAATTAATCAAACCCTGTTTCTCAAATCCGGTGGTTGATAATAAAGCGATAACATTATCATTTATTTATGCAATTACCACATCAACAATTAAATGAAGCGTTTTATGTGATTAACAGTTTCTCTGACAGAAAAACATATGAGTCGTCGCACAATGGGTTGTCTGAGCAATCTATTGGGACAAAAGTCAATAAGAAGGAATTAACTTTCTTTTTTATTAAACACTGAGTCAACTTAATTAGAAAAAGGAAATTTAATTTCGGAATGATTTTACACCGTGAACTAAAAAAATCACATTATATTTTTAGAAAAAGTTAAATATGTACAACTAATTTAGTTAATGAATCAAATTACAAAAACTAAGCATATAAAAAAATATATATTTAGTTTGTGTAACTTGACTTACTATTATTTTTAACTAACAATGTATTGGAAATTCATTGTATACATTTATTTCTTTTTTAATAAAATTATTTTTACTTTACTGAAAAAAGATCATTTAAATTTAGCCAAATAAAATTATTTTTACTTTATTGAAAAAAGATCATTTAAATTTAGCCAATGTTTTTAAATACAATTAAAAGATTAACTCATAGCCTACATTACTAATATCAGTACCCTCTTTTTAGTTTTAAAAATTCAACTATTTTTTTCAACAAAAAATTCAACTATAGGCTCTCAATTCAACTATCAATGTTTACTGTAAATTTTACTTATATTGTATTTTTTCGACTAATTCTTTTTCATATACACCAACATATCAACACAGGTGTTATGCTATTTTCCATAAAAATATTTATTATCAATATTTTGATTTTTGTCTCTAGCAATTTGATGTAGCAGAGTGACTAGGAAAGCTCACTGTGCGTCTGGTTGGACGTAAAAGTAAACAAATTCTACACTCCTTCCTCCCCCCCCCCATTTAAACCCGCCCAGGGCAAGTGTCCAAGCCCCACTCTAGATAGGCCACTGGCTGGAATCACCATTATTTATCAATTGGCTTTAATAAGAGAGAATGATGAAAGAAAAAGTTAACTAAACTATTTGTTATTCTCTTTTACGGACCGTTAGTTGACTGAATACATTATAGGATTGACAACTAATAATATCTTGTGTTTTTTTAAAAATAAAGTGTTGTCTAGAATATTTGGCTTAAAGAAGTTTAGCCCGTGAATATAATTTAAATAATAACTGAAATAGGATGTAACACATTGTTGGGTTGGAATCACCTGAAGGCTACTCATGGTTAAGGCATCAAGTCAAGGTCCAAGGAGGATACGAAACATAGATGGAAGAATTTTATTGGGCCTGACTGTGGATTCCGGTTGGGAATCGATGATTGTTAGTGCAACACAATAGTATTCAATACTTTAATTTTATATTAACTCAAAGAGTATTTGTTTACAAAAAACATCATAAAGGAAGTTAAGGGCAAATGAGCGATTTTTCAGAGAGCAGATTTAATAGGGAAACTTAAAATATTTGCAATATAAATAGTCTTGATTGAGTTACGATATCAGCATTATTGTTTCTAAGAGAGTTCGAAATGTACGAAAATTAATAATCTCTTATTCTCTTATAGCAGCTATTAGTTGTGCTGTAAAATAAAAGCTATAAAAATATCGCTCTCTATTGTTTTACTGTCAATTTTATTAGATGCTAACGTTTATTGCTTGTAGAAGAAAAGCTAGTGAACAGACTTGAAAGATTCAGGAAAATGATGATTCTGTCCAATGAAAAGAGCTCAACATTTTCAATAAGGCAGTTTTATATCAAACACAAAAGAAACCCAATAGATGCTCATTACAAGTCTTAGTCGGATGATAACAGAACTCAACAGTAAATTAGACAAGGGACTAGAGCGCTCTCTTTGACAAAATTAAATATGGCAACAATGAACAAATATTAAAGCCCTATGTATATCTATCTCAATGAACCAGCTAACTGCCATCGAATCTGTCACGCTGTACAGATATTTTTACATTTTCAGATTATTATAGAATATGTACTTTTATTTTCTGATTTGGTATTTGAAGAGAAGTACTACTATTAATATTAATGTTATGTATAAAACCTTGATTCACAATAGCCAACTATCTTAGACTCCGAATTTTTCTTTACATTGAAACACAAAAATGAAGTACATTAATAACTAAGATTTCCGTTGAATTGTTGGATGATGCTTCTCTCATTGGTCGAAACCAATCTTCGAACTTCTCCGAACAAAAAAATTAGTAAAAAATATTTCTTTTTATTATCATTCTATCCAATAAACTACTTATCATAAGACAACCAGTTTAATCTTTCTTTTATATAAAAAATTGTTTTCTCAATAAAAAAATTAAATAAGTTCTCAAGAGATTGCTATAACTTATTTTTGTTCAAGTTAAGATTCACAATAGAGGAAGGATTCATATAATAACCACAAATATATTTATGAAAGCAATCTCAACCACTATTTTTACTAAACGTAAATTACTTAAAATATCTAACGAAGATCATTGATATCAATAATACCCTTTCTAAAACCATTTTAAATTATTAAAGGAGTGTAATATTCTTAAGGAATTGATATTCTTCTAAAATTATTTAAGTATGAATCAATCATAATCCTATTTTTGAATTATCCCCTGAATAAATACTGTAAAAATTGTGGCATTTTATACATTGGATATTTATGTGAATTAATATCATCAGGAACATCTTAATAGTCATATTTCATGTTATTCATTCCTTAATATTATTTATTGAGTATATATTCTCCAAATTGTTTGTATTAGTCAAAATTTCTAAAGTTATGCGATTAAGTGAAGGAACATAGGTAACGTGAAAAATTCCTTGTTTGAATACAAGTTTGAGCAAATTTTAATAAAATATAAATAATAGAAATTCAATTAATATAAAGAAACGTACAACATGAAAGATATTAGATAAAAGTTTTCTGATAATTTTGAAAAATATTTGAAGTCAAATAAAGAAAGTGAAGTAGGAGAGCCTCTTTTCACATAAATGCCGAATTTTTTTTTATAACTTACTATTCATCCAAACACAATTTGAACAATATCAGCTAATTTTTGAAAAAGTTTAGAAAGAAATCTGGTGAAGTTTTCAAATTAGTAGTGCAGCTAGTTGACCATAAACTAAACTAGTCAAAAACGAAAATGCCCGGGTAGGCGAAACTGATTTTTTATTTACTATAAATTTTTTTAACTATGAAAAAATTAAGACATAATATTGAGAATGACTTTGATGAAAGTAGAGATTTTGATCAGGTTTCCTACACTCGGTAAGACAAACTAACATAAAACAAATTAAATAATAACAATTACTAATAGAATTAAGAAATTACCATTTTCAAAAACAAGAACTACATAAAAATATATTTATTATTTTATTTATAATTAATAAAACATAGTATTAATTACAACAAGTCAACCTAAAATAGTACAACTATTAGAGAAATAGGTATACACAAATTTATAATTAAGATCTTTACTGTAAAAACTCTGAAAATTAAGTTTTTAAATAGGTTTGAAAGCATAGGAGTAATGAAAATATAAATAACTGAAGCGTCAAGAACAAAGTAAAAATTTCAGCAATTCATATTTTCATTTTTCATGAATTTATTGAAAACAATTCTTAAAAAATTTGGATACAGCAGATTATCATTCTAAAGGTCTCAATGATTAAGGAACCTAACGTAGAGATTAACTAGTTTTCTCTTTAGTATAAATATAGTTATAATAATTAAATGTTTTAATAAAATTATAATAGTAAAAGAAATTTTTAATTTAACTGAATGGAAATATTTACATCATTAATGTTGAGATTTGAATTTTTCAAAGAAACAATTCCATTATTTTATCTATATTTACTTTACTACTGAAATTTAAAGAGAAAAGTTTAAATAAACAGATTCTCCATAAGTGACAATTTTAATTACTAAATGAGAGCGTATGATGAATAATTAAAGCTTGGTAATAGTATTATAATAAAAATATGATTTTATTATAAAACTATCACCAGAATTTTTTTATTGAAGGCAGCCCAAGATATCCAGGAAAATCATAATTGATAAATATAAATTATTTCAATCATTCTTAAGTGACTAATAATTCTTTTTTCAAATTGAAGAAGTAGTTGTATGACTCTCTAATTCAAATTCATGTATTTAAATTTTAAATAAATAAAAAAGTAATGAGTCAGAATCAAATGACGGCACATCTATCTAATCATAGTAATGTCATAAAGGAAATAAGAGGCTTCACGTTAAAATTAGAAATGATATCAAACATATCCTGTTTGAGTATAATTTCAATTTTAGAGCGAAGTGCTTAGAGAAAAAGTAAAAACAGTAACTAATTACCTGAGCATAAATAAAGTAAAGCCCGGTTTCGACTATTTCTATAGAATCTCTACTAGTTGAAGGAACATTAGTAACTAATCCAAAATCTTTTATGGATTCATTTTCTACCAGCCAAGGAGCAAGAAGCCCTGAAAAAATATTGGTTGAGAACTTATCTTATTATGCAGGCAAATTTTAAATAATATTAATATTAAAGTTTCTTATATATTTACCTCCATCCCTTATCAATGGTTCCGGAAGAGCACCAATAAAATGTGAGGCTCGTGGAGAGAATCCTTAAAAGAAAATAATTATCACTTTAAAAGGAACTGATGGATGAACTACTTTAATTTTCGTAAATGAAGTATAAAATTTTACTTTATAATTACAGCAGAAAGCATGCTTGGTTAACAGAGGCAAAATTAGGCTACTTTCACCAGTTCTGTTAAAGAAATTTAAAATGTTAGAATAGACTCATTTATACTAAAGTTATAATTTTTTTCCCATTTTAATGATTAAGAAAAACAAAACTAAATCTACTGTTACTTAAATTAAGCATGCCTTTTGTCTATGTTTACCGTGGCCACGCTTCCTCCTATTTTTTTTCTTGTTTTTTTTACCTCTTCTTTCACCGTGTTTTTTTCTTTCAGAATCTCCATTGCCATAGGGTCCATGATCTTGTCCATCAGCATTTGATGGTAACTGAGATTTTCTTGAAAAAGTAGCTGCATCAAACCTAGATCTGTTGCCAAATACAGCCTCCCTTTTGTCTCTCTTACTGCTGACACTATTTGGACATACTTGGTGTGTGAAATCTTGAAGAAACTTCATTTGAAGTTGAACTTCTTTCGCAGTTAAATTAATAAAATTCACATTAAACTCATGGATGGTTTGTTTAGCATGGTGGAGCTCAGAGAATAATGAATATATCATAAAATACAAAATCACTATATGAAAATACAATACATAGACAAATAATGTGTGCTTATTTGTTCCAGAGTTTTTGGCAGTTGTGTCATCAGGAATCTCTCCTTTAGCCATGTCTGAAAAATAATAATTGGGTTTAAATTAATAAAAATATAAAATATCTGTTTTTAATTATTTCTGTAATTGTCAAAAATAATACCTTTATAATTTAATTTGTCTTCATAATTGGAGTATACAATAAATAAATCGTATTGTAAATGAGAAAATGAAGATTAACCAAGGAACATTCTTGTTTCTTAAAATAATAATCAAAATAAATAAAATAAACTTGCTAACTAAAATTGATTCATAAAACTAAAAAAAATCAACTTCTAAATTTCGAACTAATAAATGAAAAACTGTTCCATTAAGAAAAAAATAAGAAAAAACAATGGAACTGACTTAAAGATGAAAATTTTAATTTACCACTGTTGAATTTAGGCGATATAACAACTAACACACTCATTATGACTTGAAAAAATAATTACTAAAACAATTGAATACGCTACGAATAAAATAAACATAAGAAATAAACTCTAAACTATCATTTAGCTAAGAACAAATCCAACCGGACCAGATTCCGAGGGAAGCGGTTTCGGTTCTGCCAGGCCTTGGCAAAGCTTTGTTGTGTAAAGGTTGCAAACAGAAGGTTATAGCCATTGTTCCAACAGGTGGCGTCTTTCTTGAAAACAGTTCAGCTACGGTTCAAGCTTTGTCTTATAATTAACATAACCGTGTTCCTCTAGGAATAAGAATGGAAATAGACAGCGAGGAAGAATGGTTTCTAGAATCTATCAAAAGGTAGCCCACTTTCTGTAGTGTGTACAGTTCTAAATCATGATTTTTGTTTTCTTTTATACCATCTATTCCTAGTTGACTGAGGTACTTATTTAAAAGAATCCTTTGAATTCGAATCACTAAATTTGCTATTTTCTTACAAGAGAAGAGAAATGAAAATAGCACAAGTTTTTAATCAAATTATACCTTTGTTAATTGCTGCTATTTCTTATAGAGATTTTATTTTCATATTAATTAATTCATGAATCATATGATTATGAATGAAGATAATTTTCATTAAATCATCCTTACTGAAATTACATAATATGACTATTCAAATTTATCTAATTGATTAAGTTTTTTTCATATTTTATAAAATAATGCTAGAAGCAATTTTTATTCCTTGAAATAAATGTGTACATTGCATGAAGACTAGATTAAATTTTAATTAACTAGTATAAAATGCAGAAAAAGATTTTTATAGTTGTTTTAAAAATATAATACGCATACATACATATATTTATTCAATGCAAAGAATATGAAGCAAACTTGAAAAATCATTTTATAATATAATACAATGCTAGTATTTGTGCTCTGTTAAGTACACTAGTGTTGAGGAAACAAATCTGGCAAGTTTATTGCCAATTAAATAATTCATTAATAATAACCCAATTTTAGTCAATCTAGACTTCCCATCCTCTGTTTCGAACATACTATGTAGTTCTCTCATGAAATTCTAGAGGTCTAACCACTTGACAGAGGAAAACCCATGCACTGAATTTCTGTTTGGAGACTGTAGGAGTTGTAATATGCAATATACTTGCAAAAGTGTCATTATCTAGAAACATACTAACATTTAACTGTCTTCTAAGGCTACTATAGCATAATAATACAGTTATCATTTAATGGAGTTCTTAGATGTTTACACTAAGCAGCAAACTGGTTGCGTTGGGCAGTTCTGTGTGATTAATTGCTTAACCTGTCTATAGGCCAATCCTCCTTGCTTTCATTTATCTACTGCTCCTATCTAAGTTCAATCACAAAATAAAAACAAAGAAATGTTGATCTCACTTATCTTGACTAATTCCTCTAAAACATACCCTATCTAAAACTATTATTAGTTTGTAAAAATACTGTAAAATTCAAGGAAGTTAAATAATGTAATCCTTATGTGTGGTTAAAGTAAAATTTTATATAGTAGATTTCACAATTATGCTAAAAAATAGTAGTGATAGATTTTGACAGTATATGTGAATAATATAATTTATAGTAAGCAATAGTCATACACTTATGTTACGAATTGTATTAAAAATGTTCTAACTCAACTATTAATCTAATTTAAATATGTATTAAGATATTATAATTAAAATAAGAACCATAAACTGATTGCAAATTTTATGAATATCTTGATAAAACTTCATTTTTTTTTTTAAATTTGTTTACTTAGCCTCTATCCCTAACGATCATTGGCTTAATATTTCAAAAATTTTTAAATATTTGAGCAGTTTGCCTATTTCGTTTTCCTCATCTTGCAGAATTTCTTTCATTTCTGTTCCCATTTGTGTAAAGTTTTCCTTATATCAGTGTACCTTCTACATTCTGATAATAAATGCTTTACTGTTCTGGGTACTAGGCAATGTGTACAAGTTGGGGCTTCTAATCCTCGCAGGAGGTATCCATGGGAATACTCACAGTGTCCGATTCTTAGGCGACATAGTATCGCTTCTTCTCGTCTAGACTTTCGGTTTGATGTGTTCCAGTTTTACATTTTTTTTTATTTCTTGAAGTTTTGCCGAACTCATTTCCCATTCACTGTTCCATTTATTTTGAAGGAGAAGGCAAGTTGGTGTGTCCAATCTTCTCGAGGAATGGTCTCAATTATTGTGGTTTGTGCAGTTCTTGTCGAGGATGCAGGCATCGCTCTCACATTACCCCAGATACCACAATGTGATGGTGCCCAGATAAGGACTATGTTTTTATTTTCTTCCTTTAACTCACCGTATGTGTTAAATATTTCTGTTATAACAGGATGCTGGTTTGTTGATTGTTCTATGGCTTCTAGTATGGACACTGAATCGGTTACAATAGCATGGTTTTGAAAGCGATTTGTGCGGAAGTGCAAGAGTGCTTCTTTTTTGGCTGTGGCTTCTCCCGTAAAGATAGAACATTCTCCTGGAAGTTTGTACAGGAATTCCTCACTGTCTGTAACGACTGAACATCCCACTTGGTTTTCGGCTTTTGATGCATCCGTGTACAAAATTTTGTAGTTGTAGTGTTTGTTAAAACAATGTTAAAAAATAAGATTTTTTTTCATCCAAAATTAGCTGTTTTTTTAGGTGTGGGACCTATATTTTTCTGTAGAAATATTCGGAGAGCTCCATCTTGGAAAGTTTTTATCTGCCAGCTTTTGGATGCAATTTAGGTTCATATTGAATGCTAACATTGTTTGAATTATATTTTGCTTGAAACCGGTATTGATTGAAACTGTTTGTGGATCAAATATGATGTCTCTTAAGGGGTGCCGTGGAAGTGTCATTATTATGGCCCCATATTGTGTAATCATAAATGCTCTTCTAGTCTTGAGGGATGGTTCGGCGCATTCTGCATACAGCCTCTCAATCGGTGATGTTCTATAAGCTCCTGAGTATATCCTTAATGCAGCATTATGGATCGGGTCAAGAATTTTTAAAATGCTTCTAAATTATTAAGGTTTTCCATAGCTTAGGGAGTTCACCAGCATCCCAGATCTCGTTGTGTAGTTCAAGTATGATCTACCTTCATCTGGTGTGTTTTATCATTTTGTTAGAAATTTCTTCTATACCTGTTGCTGATTTTCCATGACATTTTTTATTGCCATTTCCATTTCTTTCAATATGAAAGGTTGATCATAGCAAACATTAGAATTTGACACTTGTAGCCTGGCATTACATCTTGGTTTGCAATGTCCGTTGGTTCCTTATTGCTGAGGCAGCTAACCGATGGTTTACGAAATTGTTGTGCCGATGTATCTGCTATCTCTGATGGATTTGTTATTATATTCTCTGCTACATCTATCACTGATATTATGTTTTTGTTGTTAATTCCACGAATAGATCTAATTCTGTTCCATACTTCTGTAACTGGTGTTTCGCAGTTAATAGAGAAAACAAATTCTTTCCACGATGACTTTTTACTATCTGTAATAATTCTATTTGCAATTGCTCGAAGTCTCTTAAATTCAACTGTGTCATTTAGACTCCTACTTCTTTTGTACTTCTTGATCTCTTCTAAGAGAAAAGTTGGTAAGCAGTGAATGATAATTAGCCCTGCATATTTTCTCACATCAGTGTATGTTTTTAAGACTGTTTCTATATTTATTTATTCGAGTAGCCACTCATTCATCCCATAATGATCTTAAACTCTGAAAAAGCAATTTAGAGTCTCGGCGATTCAAAACACAAGAGTTATTTATGATGAATTTGACCAAGTTTCACAGACTATGAGAAAAATGATCATGAACATAGTACATTCTTCGGGTACGGGGTGACCAAGCAGACTAATGCTTGTGCACAGCACCGCCGTTGCCCGGCAACCAGATAAACATATACTAGGACAGATATGATAAAATAATTACAAGTTTGTTTTCCGGTGCCGGGGGGGGGGGGGTCTTTTAACTCCGGCATTAATCCCCTGTATAGCCTGAAGGTCGAGGAAGGGGTAGACAAAAAAAAATAGTGCATTGTTCTAGTTCAGGTTTTATTGGTTGCAAACTACCTCTGAGATTAAATATATAGAAAATATTTACATTAAACTTAAATAAATTTTTTTTTTAATTTTAAATAAAATTAAAAAATTTACATAAACTAATAAGTTTATTTTAATTATTTTTTAAGTTTATTTTTATATAATGTTTTTTAATTTCAGGTATAAACAGCTAATTATGTTTGATAGTGGAAACCCTATAAATCAGATGGAACTAAGTGATTATGACACGATGTGCCTTCTGTGTGATAAAAATTCAGAACAAAAATATATAACAGTGCTAAAGCTACCTACAAAAGTAACTAAAACTTACTTGGGCTCTAATGAGATTCAGCTTAACAGTGACCTGAAAATTATGTCTGGAGTATTTCTTCCGTCCCCTCTCTGTAGGGTACTTGCACTTTTTCTGCAACAAAAATTATGAAGTACTTAAGTCTCGGCTCTAAAAACCTATAATATCATGATGCAAATTGGTTATTAGCTCATTGCTTCTTATCTTTGATTTCATTTTTAGATCTTAGCTGTTTATGGTGAGAACAGATTATTGACAACAAATGACGTTGGTTTAATGATTTACGACGTTAAAGTCTCTGATACAGGTATAGTTACAGCCTTTTAATTGGCTTTTTGTAATTTTGTATGTTTTGTTTTCTGAGAAAAAGATTTATGACTCTTAAAAGTTTAATATATGAAGTTAAGGAGTAAATAGAGTTTGATATTATAACTCCTCCTATTTTTAAAATTTGTACATTGCTATTTAATATTGTAAATATATATCTTTCTAAAATCTGTAACTCTTTCTTTAATGTTATACTTAATTTAAATACTTAATAAATTACTAATAATTTGTTTTTGTCTTTCAGATCAAATTTCTTACAATACTACATTGAATTTTCCGTTATGTTATCCATATATTGCTTTGATCAATAAATCTACAGTAATATTGACTAAGGATACTCAGAAAAAGACATTGATTGCAGATTTAAACAATGGTGAAATACTAAGAGATTTTATTTTAGACAAAAATCAATGTAATGATCTGATTCCAGTTTGTTTAAATGAAAACCTTATAGCACTAACGGAAAAAATAAGTGGGACTACTCATTTATATGATTGGAGGTGTAATGAAAAGAACGAGAAAATACATGGTTTGGCTCTTACATATCTAAACTATTTCTAATGTTCTTTAATTTTAGTTTTCAAGATTCTTTTATAATGTGTGTTTACTCAATAAACCTATATACTTTTTTTACAATACTGAAAAAACCTATTTCTTATCTATCTCTGTTGGGAAATATATTTGTTGGGCCTAAATACAGAATTAAATACTTCAGCTGTTTTTTTAGCTCTGAGTTAACGTTTTTCTCAGAAAAACATGTCTCCACTGTTTCTTCCTTTTTTTCATGACTTTATATCTGATGTTCTGTTTTTTGCTTGGTAATGACATCGAAGTGAAGGTACAATGTTGGGAAAGTATAAAAACTGAACTTAGCTATTAATGATAATTAAAAAAATGAATTCAGTTTAGCAGGAAATAAATTACCACAAAAATAGCTTAAAATGGGGGAAAATGTATGTTTTCTAGAAAACTAATAGTGGAACCCTGTGTGTTAATGACATTTTGATAGCTTAAGCAATTGTAAAATCTTGTTATTCTTTAAGATTTATGAAAAATTTCACCATATAGCATTGAGATAAACATAGGTTTAGAATTAACTAATTGTGTTAATTTATAGTTTGCTAAAAGTTTCCCATTAATTGAGAATCGTCTTTACAATACTTTTTTGAACAATTTTTTGCTTTAATATCCCCATGAGAGGGTTTTGTAACGGGTAATAATGCCGAGTTAAAAGTTCCAATGGCACCGGGATTTGAACTTGTAATCTTATCTTCATCATCCAGAATGTTTTACACGTGTTAGCACACTCGACCCACTTAGGGATTGTGTGAACTGTACCTGTTTAATATAATAGAGGAGATTACATTGCATAGAATAAAATGGGTATGTAAAATTGCTGGGCTTAGTAATGAATGAATCCCTAAAAGAGTAATATGTGTTCTGCAGATTAGTAAATGTCTGAGGGATAGACTGAAGCGAAAGTGGGAGGATTGTGTTAAAGCTGATCTGGGAGAGTTGGGTTTTCGACGGTGGCTGGTGGAGTGAGATGTGTAGACAGTGAAACTGTTCACAGATGGTGTCAGCATTGAACCTTTGGGTTCGCTAAGCCTTTTATTATTACTATTATTTATTTCTTTATCATGTAATTAAAGAAACTTTCATAGGTTGTTTGGCGGTGCTCACTAGCCATGGTTTGGTGCTTAAGAGAGTAAACATAAATATATAAAAGTACATAATTTTTATATTTCGAGCATGGCCTATTCAGCCTTGGAAAAGTCATTAAATAGTTATTTAAACAAAAAAAAAAACTATTGGTCCTGTCAATAAATTCAAAATTAAGCTGACTACTATTTTCCTCTATATTTTAATTACTAACACATGATGTATTGTCTAGAACTTCTCTAGCTTGTATTAAAAAAATGGATACCAATTTTAGGATTTATTACTTATTTATTATTACAGAAAACAAAAATTAAAAGGATAAAAGATTTTTTTTTATTTTCAGCCAGAGATGAATGTGATGCTGCTGTGTTTCCTGCTTCAACTTATTCGTACATCAAAAATTCAGATCCATCGAACAATATATACTTTCTGTCTCAGTCAGGAATATTCAAAGCATATGACCTACGTTATACTTCTAAACTTTTAATGAAACATAATTTGAAATTATCTACTACGGAAGACAATTTAAAAATTAAATTTGATCCTAATGATCATAATATAATTTCTATTTCTGGATTTGACAGGAATGTTTATATTTTTGACCTTTCTCAAAATATGAAAGAAATTTTTAAACATGACGGTCATTCCAAGACAGAAGACTGTAAAAAGAATACTGTAGTTACTGATCATTTATGGTATCCAAAACAGTATATAATGTCTGGAGCATTGAATAATTCCCTTAATTGTTGGATACCTGATACTAGTCACAGCTAATACAGGAATTTTTTTCATTAATGGAGAGTTATACAATTCTAAATTGATGCTTTTTATACTCTCCTTTATTTTAAATGATCTCATAAATATTGTAATTAACTTTAACATTAAATTGTTGCTGCAAATGTAAGATTGTTAAGTTACTGCTGTTACTGTTGATATTTTTATAAACATTTTGTTAAAATCTTGTTATTTTTTTTTAACCCAATATTTCTTTAATGTTGTTCTTTGAGTATAAAGACCTTATACTCAATGAATAGAATAGCTTAGCAATCTATTTTAGCCACAGTAGGAAAGTTAAAGTTTACATCGTTAGTCCCTCAAAGTTTGTGTAAATATATTTTATTTTTGAAACATTGTCCTCTAACAATTAATCCTTTCTGCTGATAAGCTGAAGCTGTTAAGGCTTTTAATATTAAAGCATCATCTTGAAAACCACGAATCTAGCGTGCCAGTTTAGTTCTGCCCTAAGCAGATTGAAATTTATTTTTGGAGGAGCATAGAATAAATTTCAGACTTTCCTACCATGGACAGAATAGGTTGGTTACTGGTACACCCCATTCAAAGGCTATAAATGGCCAGCTAGTAAAAAAAAGTTCACTCAAACCACAGACTGTCAATGTTACCATTCTCAGACACAGCAAAGCTTATGTGTCTCAGATTTGACTGAGACCCGAAGAAGGGAGCTCTGCAATTCTATTTGACGTCATATAACCTTTTCTCGTTACATTTAATTGTTTAGTAGACAGAGATTCAATTGTTCCAAAATCAGCATTAAGCCAAAACCAAAATTGAAAAAATTAACTTATTAACATTTATTTTTTGTATAAAACATTTAAATAGAATATAAATAAGATCATGGATATAAGAAAAATAACAGAGAAAGGACATACCTTGGGGTCAGAATAAATCTGCAAGTGATAGCTTCCAAATGGTTAGAATCCGGAATGACTGCGCTGAGTTAGCTACAGGGGACTAATGAATACACTGACCAAGCCACAAGTGAAATGGTGAAGGCGGGACTTACCCCTACCTGTTTAAATGGCGACCACCCAGATGTCCCGCATATATCATAAAGCATATATCCCGGCCGCAACAGTAACCTAACTCACTACCGGGAAGGCACCTATCCCGTCTGCAGTCAAAGGGTTAAACATTATTATTTTACAGGAAGGAGATGGTCTGGGGTGGCAGTCATAGGCTAAATAGCGGTAAAACTATTTTTATTAAAAGCTAACGTTTCGACCCGACTTTGCAGGTCTTCTTCAGGGAGGTGTGTTCAGCTAGCTAGAACTGAAGTTCTAAGTGAAACTCCTAGCTGAACACACCTCCCTGAAAAAGACCTGCAAAGTCAGGTCGAAACGTTGGCTTTTAATAAAAATGGTTTTACCACTATTTATATGACCGCCACCCCGGACCATCTTCTTCCTTTATAATTCAATGGTCGACTATTAAATATTCAATAATTATTTTACAATTTAAAATTTAATTAAATACTTTACAAATGTACACAATATTAACGTGTTACTTCAACAACTCACTAAATCCCACAAAGGATATTGATTAATTATAGTTAAATATAATGATTACTATTGCTATTTAATTAAATTTTTAATTGTAAATAGTAATGTTTAATAAGTCTTTTTAGATTGGCTTGAAGATGGTGTAATGGCTGAAACGTTGCAATGAAAACAGAATTTGTGGAATGAATAAACCTATGGTAGAACAGCCCTAATTGCTTTAATACTTAAATAAGAATTTTCATCTTACATTTAATAAAATTATAAAATGAAAAACAGCAATGCTGTCCTCTTGGGGTGGTGTTTAAGTGATGAGGAAGCCATAAAAACTGAAACAACAAAGCAGCTGAAGAACATTAAAACAGTATTTCCAAATAGCCTTGGCCTTGCTGCTAGATATATAAATATTGATACATATGGTATCAGTAGTTGTCAAATAAATTGAAATATTAACAGAATGTATTTAAGATTATGGATAGTCAGGATTTTTTTATCAAAATCTGACGACTGTAAATCTGTTTGTACATCATCCTAAATAATTAAAACAAGAAACAGTCATCGAAAACCCATCTTTTAGCCAAGTCCCAAAAAATGGTTTGTGGATGTATATGAACATTTTATCTCAAAAATGAAAAGCCTCACAAAATTTAAATTACATATTTAAGGTTGGTAAATGTCTTTGAAATATCATTTTATATCATCGATTTCACACTTTTTTTAAAATTTCAATAGAAACTAGAAAAAAAATCAACATAATTGATAAAAACAAACATATCACAAGGATTGAATAAAATCAATATTGAAAAAGTTATTATAAACCTTATAGCAACTACTTTTTTTTTTTTCTTTTTTGTCCTGCCCTTCCTTGCCTTTAAGGCTATACGAGGGTTTTTCCAGGCCAGGGAGTATGGGCGGGGATTTAAAAGACTCCTCCGGGCACCGGGACTCGAATTCGTGACTATTTTTTTCATCAAAGTCTTATGTATCAGGTTGCCGGGCAATGGCGGTGCAGTGCACACGCATTAGTCCATTCGGCCACCCCGCCCACAAAGTATTAACATTACTATCAAAAAGATTGTTTCTAAGGAATAGAGAAAAATAAGAAGGAAAAAAACATTGCTGGGCTATTGCCTCAGCTTGCTTGACCTCCCAATTATTTTCTTTGCTATTACATTATGCTGTCTATAATTAAAAAATATTTTTGACCATCAAATTCTAAACTATCGGTTTTATAATTTTCATTAAAAGATTGTTAATAATTTTCAGTAAAGGTTGGGTGAAATTATATGACTTAATTATTTTTGATGGCTTAGTTTATGGATTGTCATTTCATATATTTTTTTTTAGTAATAAATGAGAACTTTAGAAACTTCATAAAGAAAATTTAATGAACATTTCTGATATCTTAAAATCTAATGTTATCTAAAAATATGTTGAAAAAACTAATGTAGAAATTAGTTAAAGTGAATCAAACGTAAATAAAAATATCTATAGCATAGACATATTTTATAAATCATTAATTGCAGTCATTGATATTCATGTTAGAACCATATTGACAAAGTTCCTCCATCTAAGGAAAGTTAAAAGATTGGCTCTAAATGAAACAAATAAAATAAAATGAATTAATTGTTAAATACTGAAAATATTAGTTATTATAATATAAAATTACCATATTTAGTACTAAATCTTGAGGTCAAACTTAGCATCAATGAATGTTGTAATACTCATATAGCAGAAGTAACTTTCAATTATAAGGGGATAAAAAGCCTTACCAAGTAAGTCTCCATTGTTTATGTTGTTTAATTAAAGAGAAGTTGTTGGGGTGTTGAGGCAGCGAACAACAAACCAACTTCTCTTCAATTATTCACTACAATCAACTATTATGTTATTTTTTATTGTTAACAGAATAAAAATAACTTATAGAAAGAATGTAATCTGGCTCTGAATAGACTGTTAGGAGAAACAACTAAAAATCTAAAGAGTGAAATAAAACATAATAGCAAAAATAAGAAAATTACAGCTCTGGTCAACTAAGTATAATGAGTAATCATAAAAAAAAAAAAAAAAAAAAATTATACAAACTATTTATATCACCTAAGATTATAAATAATGCAGTGAACTTCAAGATCGATGAAGCCAATTTTAAGACCCATGGTACAAACATAATAAATAAACTACTAAGTAAATGAGAGTAGTAATGAATAACAGTAATAAATTTTAATAAAGCCCAATACATTCATTTAGGCATAAAATAGAAACATTTTACAAAAAAAAAAAAAAAAAAAAAAGGAACAATAAATAATGAAGGAGGTAGATAAATATGTTGTTGGTTCACAAAAGAAAATTAAATATAACAAGGTTAAATATCAAAGCAATAAATACTGTGTGGTATCCGTATGGAACAATTATATAAATGTATTATATTATCCTATAATATTTATACATTTTATGGTTGAATACTAAAAATAAATTTCATTAATTGAAGAAACATAAATGGAAAAGATGTTGTTTGGGAATTCACTGACATTATATAGTTACAATATAATTTTTACAAGGTAATCTTTGTTTTCTTTTTAAAATCATATGTATCCATTTTATGAATATCTTAGGATGGAGGAAACCTCGGAAATGGTGAAAGATTAAGAAAGAAGAAGAAATTTTATAGAACATTGTGTTTTTGCTGATGTATGTACCATATTAACATTATAATAGTTTTTAAATTAGATTATATAAGCTATGAAATGATGTATGCATATACATACATTGGAAGTACAATAATACCTTATAAAGAAAAATTAGTGTGATCATAACATTATAAATCACATGATTGTGAAGTTCTATTTTAGTGTGGCAATTAGACAAAATAAGCTGATTAATATTCAACTTCCAAATCTTGCCATGTAAACTTTGGAAAAACCCTGATTTGTAGACGTAATTCAAGAGTTAAAAAATAAAATAGTAATTAGGTTTAATTAAGATTTATGTGTGTTATTATTTTTTTTATTATTCAAGTTTGTATGTTGTTTAGTTATATGATAATAATGATAAATATTTAATAAATAGAAAGCTAATTTCTTACCTTATAAAAATGGAGCTTCTTTTATTTTTTTACTTTTTGAAGAAATAACCTTAAGAAATTTTTTTACGTATGAAAAAGGTTAAATATAGATATTTTATAACCATTTTTTATGTAACATCTATACCACTTGAGCATTGAGAATCATTATAGGAATGTTTGACATTAAATATCACATCCCTAAGTTATAAATGCTATATTTAAATTTGTAACCACTATATTCCCGCCTAAACTGAAAGTATTCTAGTTTTTTTGGTATCTCAAATGATTGTGCCATCTATAGATAGCGCTACAGTCAATGTGAAGAACCCTTAAAAGCGTTTAGTATTTTGTTTATAATTTATAAATTTATATATAAATTGGTAAAATTTAATCACAGAAATACTTAAATTTACTTTTAAATATTTTAAACCAAAGTATCTATTCATTATGCAATGAACAAAAACAAATAACTTTCTAAAAACCGCCATTTACAGTACTGAATTTGTAGCAATTATCTGCTTTTAGAGGAAATTTAATATGTAAATTTTTAATATTTATATTGGTTTCCTCAGTCATGAAATACATTGTGAACTTCACAGGTATAAAACAGTTATATTTATAATTTAAAGGATAAGCTTAGTATTTTAAAAAAATAATTATTGAAGGTTGAATAGTAATACTAACTAAAATTATAATTGATAAAAGCCATTCCAATCCAGTGATTTAAAAGAAAAGTTATTATGAAATAAATAAAAACTTATGAAATATTTCATTTTTATTTTTGATTGTTAAATGAAACAATTAGATTAACTAATAACAACCAACAAGTAATATGTAGTATTAAATACTCAGTTCAGAGGCAGTTCATAGATTTTGTCCATTCTTCATTTTACACCTTTATCTTCATTTTACAGCTTTACGAAGTTTTAATGAGAAACCTAGGTCATTTCTTTGACAATCTTAATATAAAATCTATTTCTAATTAGTATTTAAACTCTAATTTAATCAAACAAATTAAATCCTCAAAATTGAATTTAATTAATGTAAAGATAATTATTTGTCTTTAAATATAATTAAGTAAATTAATATTCAGCAATAAGTTGGACAGAAATTTTCCCAAATGAATAAAACTAATTTAGAGTTCCATAAGATATGGGAAAATTAACAACATTTAAAAATGATTTGTGAAAAACAAAATTACTATTTTAACTTTTTGTATTCACGACCCCTACGCAAGACTTATCTAAAAAGTGACAATTTTGATTGACAATCATATATGTAATTTTGATAACTACTATGTCATTAACTTAATAAAAATTAATTATTTGAAGCTAATTTATTTAATTATTATTAAATGAAATGCAATGCCTACACTAAAACGTTCTTTAATACGTGAATAAATACATATGCAAATAAATATGTATTAAATTGATGTTATCATTAAAAAGGGTTACTCTAAAATACAATTTAATAATCTTGTGATTATAAAATAAAGACATTTCAGTGATATATTGTTTTATTTTTTATTATTATCTAAGTTGTTTGTATGGAATAAATTAAGAAGTAATCATTAAGAGGTGTAGTATTGGTGTAAAAAAAAAAATGTTTTATATTAGTAGTTCTCTATATTGGTCATACATTTTTTATTTAAATTATTTTTAAGCACAATTTATATATACTACTTCATTGAAAATTGATTACTTTTGAGCTATTACATGGAGAATTTCAAAAAAGCCTGAAACATTACTTAAATGTTAAAGCTTAGAACTAATTTATATTACAAAAAAAAAAGATTGAACTACATTTTTGATTGATATACTAGATACAAAAGTTGATATGAAATACAATTTTAATTTGTGGGAAAAAAAATCATTTTTATCTGTTCTATAGACCGCCTGATAACTTAGGCTTATATTAGTGTCCAAATTCATTGTTATAATGAATTTTTTTACATTTTACATTTTTTTTACATTTTTAATAATCTATGGAATGGAAAAAATTAAAAAACATATTTTTATAGTGTCTATTTGGTAAAGATTTCTCTTTTATATTTAAATATCATCGGTTTATTGTAAAAAGAAATCATGTGGCTTTTCATAACCTTAAGTAATTAAGAACTGAGGAATTTTCCCTAAATGGAAGCAGAAAATTGAGAGCTAGTTGTAACTATATTTGATATATAAGGGGACTTGTGTTATTTACATGCACTTACATTGCTTTTGTATAGATAAATAAAATAGAAATTTACAAAAACATATTTGAAAATTACCTGCAAAAAAAAAATGCACTTAGTAACTTTTTTAATAAACCGGCGATATCCTCAATTTCAAAATATTTACTTCTATATTGAATGCATATATCATGATTTTTTAAATATATATTTCTGCTTATAGGTCATGAAAATTATTTGTATTTTTCTTCAAAGAACTTCACAAGCATCGGTGATTGGTAAGTTTTTTTAATTCCTTCTACTTTCTCTAGTACATGTTCAAGTTTAAACGAATTGTTTCTAGAAAAATGATGAATGTTAAATAATGCGATTTTTCTAAAATAATTTATTTCTCACTAATTAAATTCTAACAATCCCAAATTATCTTAGTAAATATTAAGATTTATAGAGAATCTTCTGATGTGTCTAACAATTAAAATATTGAACTGCCATTTTACTGTATATGATAGATGGCAGGTACTTGAAAATCACACAGACAAGTTAATTTGTGTTAAAACTATTTCAACAATTTCAAACTTGAAAAAAAAAATTTTTACTTATCAGTTTTTGGACGTTTTTTTTTTTTTCCAATCACCATTAATGAATCCAAGCAATTGAATTGCCTATTATTCTATAATTAATGCAAAATGGTTTTTATCTTTATTTTAAGATGTATAAGGCTGTGGCAGATTGATGCACGGGTAGACCAGGCATTAGGCCACGATGGTAATTTTTGAGAGATGATGAAATTTGAATGTTTCTAAATTTTTATTTGAACAAACTTGTATATATAAAACACTTCAATTAAACACACATAAAGAATGTAGTTCTCTCCTTTTTTTTTTTTGTTTGTTTGACTATACATTGATATCTGTTTTTGGAAACAAGATCAGTTTAAAGGGAAGGCATTTTAAAAACTATAACACAAATCTGCTACTGGTACAAAGTGTGGTTATTGTCATGTTTTAAGAAGGTTGCACTTATCACTCGGAAATTCCCAAGATCAGGTAGGAGAGATTGCCTTAGACATACTGGGAGCATCAAAATGCCAAAAATAATTTCATAATGTTATGTTAATTTATATTTATATTTCAAGTGTGAGTGCACAATACTGGAAATAGATAATCTAGAATTGTAAGAGGGTTGAGGGAAGAAGTGAGAGAATTCTTCAATGCTGAAGTTAGTCTTCATTGCTAGTTTATCTAGCTTCACTTCTACTTATTATAAACTAATATTTTCAAGTTAAAATAACCAAGGATATAATTATCTCAGAGTAATTAATAATTAAATAATCTATAAAGAGTCCGTTTCTAAAAAAAATATTTAAGATTTGATATTCTTTTGAGCCATCATAGGAAATTACTATAAAACTACTTCACTATGATTTATGAATGTTTAAATCATTCTGTTATCTCAATACTATATAAATTGCCAATTAAAATATATATAAAACTGATAACTATTTATGTCATAAGTACTCTATAAGTCAAAATTCAATTAAAAATACAGATCAAAGATCCCGTTGGCACTAAATTCATTAATATTCATGTATTTAAATCATTTAAGAATGATGAACTGGCGTTAAATTGTAATCCTGTCAAAGAATTTTAATCTTGAAGTGAATTGCTATATTATTTTAATTACACAATAAAATTGTTTTCAGGAGCCAACAGATAAGTATCAAATTTGATCATAAAAGTGTTAAATAATAAATATTAAAATCCTTGAAAAAAAATTCAAAATAATTTTATTTTTAACTTAAAAAGTAATTATGAAATTAATATTTTTATAGCTGTATGATGTTTAAAATGTCATAAAAGTTCTACTTATCCAGTTTTTTAACGTTTTGCCAAGTTTTTAATACCTCTTAAAGTAAAGGCTAATAAAGTGCCAGCAAAATGCATTTTAGATGTCTCTAATAGGTTTAGAGGATTGGAAATTTGAATAAAATGGAGTTAGTATTAGAGAAGTGTCTCTATTAGAAATAACCTTTTTCTTCACCCTGACCATTTTTACTTCGTTTTTGTAAACCTTTTCAAAAAATCGTTCAGGAATGGGGTAGGAGCCTTAAACTTCTAATTCCTGCGGCCAGATTCGAGTCCGGGTATGGAAAAATATATTTTCTATTACATTAGATATAATTAGGGACCCTCCTCGGGCTCACTGATCAGTTATAAATGGGGTATATTAGGGATCTTCATTGGAATACAGAAAGAAAACTTTGATGCAGAGGTGTCCAAAAGGGGGTTTTATAGCGCAAGTTGCGCCATCAAACTTTTTAAGGGGGTCATATTTTGCCGGGTTTTTGGATTTCGAAGGAGAGAAATTTCAGTGGGGTTATGAATTTTCGAAATGAAAAGTTTCAGAATAACGATTTTTCTAATTCTACTTTTCCTTTGCTCTGTTTGTGTGAAAAGGTAAGCAACAAAATACCTTGGGATAGTGAGGTGTTAGGTTCTTGCACCATCGGCCTTAATGGGTTCGATTCCCAAATCGATTAATATATTTTTTCGACCATCTTGAGGAACAAGCCTTGTTACTCCCACTCTTCTTGGTATGTGACGGAAAACCTGGAGGTAGCCATCAGGAGAAGACAAAACGTTCACTGGTTTCCTCCACCAGTACCAGTACTGGTACCTGAGATACTGTCATAAAACTGTTGAGGATAAAAATAAACTTTTCTCACAGCAAAAATCCTAGATTCAGCTCTGGCTGTGGTCGCTAATATGCGGTAGTATTATGCATTATATTATACATAATATAAGTTCAAAAAGGCTCATAATAACTAATTCATTAAGAGAGTAATAAAGAATACCTTACAGATATTTCGAATTATTTAAAAAAAAAAAAAACAATATTCCAGTTGCATGAAATATTTGAAGAACTAAATAGTGATATGAGTCTTGTATTAATTATTTATTAAATTTTAAATTGGTCTATAATCGTCTCATCTTTTTGTCTACATTCGAGGAATTGCTGTGTTATATATGTGTGCGATGTTTTATTGAGTTCCTGGAGTTCGGGAATTTAAAAAGAAACATTTTTTTTTTTTTATTTTGGTGAAATGTTTATTATGCTATGTCTATTGTTTAATATGGTTT